GAAATGAACCTTCCTCCCCTCCGCCTCCCGCAGCTGCTTCATCGACGAGCACGTGACCCGCGTGGCCTGGCTGAACCGCTCCAACATCCTGTACGCGGGCAACGACCGCTGGACCAGCGACCCGCGGGTGCGGCTGCTCATCAACACGCCCGAGGAGTTCTCCATCCTCATCACCCAGGTGGGGCTGGGCGACGAGGGCCTCTACACCTGCTCCTTCCAGACCCGCCACCAGCCCTACACCACTCAGGTCTACCTCATCGTGCACGGTGAGCGCAGGGGCGGGGCCGGGGCGCCCCACCCGGGAGGCAGGCACAGCCCTGCCCTTGCGGATTTCAGCCAAGTGGGAGGGACAGGCACACAGATAGCGGCCCTTCTGCCTGGCAGCTTCTAAGGCAGGAGAGCTGCAGGGTGAGGGGAAGGTGCGCTCACCGGAAGATCCTAGTCACTGGCTTAGCCCCATTTATTGAGCACCTACTGTGTGCAAGCATTTGCTCCAAACTCAGGATAGAGGAGGGGCCCATCTGGCTGCTCCCAGGCCTTTGGAGCTGACTTTCCGAGGAGAGGAGGCTTCCCAGACATGATATCTGAGCTGGGACCGTCGGCCAGGTGCAGAGCTGGTACCGGGCAAGGAGGGCAAGGAGCGCCAGGCGCAGGCGCCCAGGGAGGACATGAGTCAGGGGTGCCGGGAGGGGCCTGGCATGGCAGGATGCATCAGAATTCAGAGTGGGCGAGAGGGGGCCGGAGGGAGAGAGAGGGATGAGGCTGCCTCGCGTGGCATCAGAAATGGGCTGAAGGGAGGGCGCATTGGCGGAGACGGGAACCCAGGCACAGGGACAGCCCAGCGGGGCCAGGACAAGCCGGACTTGGGAGCCAGACCGACGGCCTGGCTCCGACCTCAGCACCACCACCAGCTGACGGGCCCTGAGCAGGGGGGTTTCGGACCCCTCACATGCATCTCTGTCTTTTTCTCTCTCTCCCACTCTCTCTAAAAATCAATGGAAAAATGAGGGCGCATTCGCGGAGACGGGAACCCAGGCACAGGGACGGCCCAGCGGGGCCGGACAAGCCCCACTTGGGAGCCGGACCGACCGCCTGGCTCCGACCTCGGCACCACCACCAGCTGACGGGCCCTGAGCAGGGGGGTCTCGGACCCCTCACATGCATCTCTGTCTTTTCCTCTCTCTCCCACTCTCTCTAAAAATCAATGGAAAAATATCCTTGGGTCAGGATTAACAAAATAAATAAATAAATAGCCCTAGCCCGTTTGGCTCAGTGGATAGAGCATCAGCCTGCAGACTGAAAGGTCCCCAGTTCGATTCCCCAGTTCAAGGGCACATGCCCGGGTTGCAGGCTCAATCCCCAGTAGGGGGGCGTGCAGGAGGCAGCTGGTCAATGATTCTCATCATTGATGTTTCTATCTCTTCTCTCACCCTCTCCCATCCTCTCTGAAATCAATAAAAATACATTAAAAAATAATAAATAAATGATAAGTAATAAAATAAAAAGCATCTGCATGTGTCAGAATTGCTGGACACAGCCACATCTACCCCAGAGGGAGGGTGGCCGTGAGGGTTTCATAAGCTAATTTTTGCAAATCACCGAGAAGAGGGTTTACCACACCATAAGCACCCGGTGAGCATTTGTAAAATGAGCTATTTTTTAAAAATAGCCTTAGCGGGTTTGGCTCAATGGATAGAGCGTCGGCCTGCAAACTCAAGGGTCCCAGGTTCGATTCCGGTCAAGCATGTACCTTGGTTGTGGGCACATCCCCAGTAAGGAGTGTGCAGGAGGCAGCTGATTGATGTTTCTCTCTCATCGATGTTTCTAACTCTCTATCCCTCTCCCTTCCTGTCTGTAAAAAAATCAATAAAATATATTAAAAATGCAGCTGGTCGATTCTCATCATTGATGTTTCTATCTCTTCTCTCACCCTCTCCCATCCTCTCTGAAATCAATAAAAATACATTAAAAAATAATAAATAAATGATAAGTAATAAAATAAAAAGCATCTGCATGTGTCAGAATTGCTGGACACAGCCACATCTACCCCAGAGGGAGGGTGGCCGTGAGGGTTTCATAAGCTAATTTTTGCAAATCACCGAGAAGAGGGTTTACCACACCATAAGCACCCGGTGAGCATTTGTAAAATGAGCTATTTTTTAAAAATAGCCTTAACGGGTTTGGCTCAATGGATAGAGCGTCGGCCTGCGAACTCAAGGGCCCCAGGTTCGATTCCGGTCAAGCATGTACCTTGGTTGTGGGCACATCCCCAGTAAGGAGTGTGCAGGAGGCAGCTGATGGATGTTTCTCTCTCATCGATGTTTCTAACTCTCTATCCCTCTCCCTTCCTGTCTGTAAAAAAATCAATAAAATATATTAAAAATAATAATAACAAATGAATAAAAATAGAGATGGGGAGAGAGAAAGTCAGAACAGAAGATAGAAAAGCCAAGTTAGGATGAAGGCAGAGAGAGAGACAGAGACTGGAAAGAGTGAGGAAGACAGAAGTTAGACATGAAGCCAGATCCACAGGAAGGGAAACCCAGAGAAATCTTACAGCAAGACAGGGAATGTCAGCTGGACTCCTGGGTCTGAGGGAGGGGGGGTCTGAGGACCTAAACTCCTGGGTCTGGGGGAGGAGGGGCTGGGGGCTTGGACTCCTGGGTCTGAGGGAGGAGGGGCTGGGGGCCTGGACTCCTGGGTCTGAGGGAGGAGGTGCTGGGGGCCTGGACTCCTGGGTCCTGGGAGCCCGTACCAGCCTGTGGCTGACCTCTCTCCCCTCCCCCGCAGTCCCCGCCCGCATCGTGAACATCTCCTCGCCTGTGACGGTGAATGAGGGGGGCAACGTGAACCTGCTTTGCCTGGCTGTGGGGCGGCCGGAGCCTACAGTCACCTGGAGGCAACTTCGAGGTGAGGACCTCACCCCTGGCCCACAGCCCCTTCTCCTGCTCCACAGGTTGGGCCCTGTGTTTCCCCATGTCCCTGGCCGGATGTCCAGAGCCCTCCGTTCCCCAAGCCGTGATCCCCGTCACCCTTGTGATGACTTGATTTCCCCCTCCCACCCCATCCCCTTACTTCCCTGGCAGACCTCAGATCCTAGAACCTTCACCACTTAGCATCCCAGGCCTGAGCCACACCCTCCACATCATCCATTAGATTCCAGCCATGCCCCTCTTCTCCTCACTTCACCCTGTCCCTACCCCAGTATCTGCAGGGTCTTCCTCACCAGCCACAGGATTCTCCTGGACTCAGGTCCCTATACCATTGGAAGGCCTGAGCCAGGTGATGGCCAGTAGCCCCACCCACATTCCCACTTCCTGATTACCTGGGATGCTCCAGCCCAGCAGTTCCCAAAGTGTGGTCCCAAAAATGGCAGCATCAGTATCACCTGGGAACTTGCCAGAAAAGCACAGTCCTGGTCCCATCCCAGACCAGACGACTAGAAATCTCCCCCATCTCCATCACCATCACCATCACCATCTCCATCACCATCTCCATCACCATCAACATCTCCATCACCATCTCCATCAACATCTCCATCACCATCAACATCTCCATCAACATCTCCATCACCATCACCATCAATATCTCCATCACTATCACCATCTCCATCAACATCTCCATCACCATCACCATCTCCATTTCCATCAACAATTCCATCACCATCACCATCTCCATCACCATCTCCATCTCCATCACCATCACCATCAATATCTCCATCACCATCACCATCTCCATCAACATCTCCATCACCATCTCCATTTCCATCAACAACTCCATCACCATCACCATCTCCATCACCATCTCCATCACCATCACCATCATCATCTCCATCTCCATCACCATCTCCATCTCCATCACCATCACCATCTCCATCACCATCATCATCTCCATCTCCATCACCATCACCATCTCCACACTTTAACAAGCCCTTTAGCCCTTTAGGATGGTCAAGCTGAGAACCACTCCCTAGGCTACCCCCAAACATAGTCCCAAGCTGTCTGAGTGTGACTTCCTGACTTCCCCATCTCCCTTTTTACCTGGATCTCACCACCAATTCCCAGATCCCTAGATCCTCATTCACTGGGTCTTTGGAGGCCACTGGTGCCAATCACTGGACACCCTGAGAGGCCAGAACCCAATAACTAAGTGTCAGATCCCTGATCCTCCCCCAGTGGGTCATCTGAACCCCACAATCCTGGTCTAAGGTCCTGGTTTCCCAGGTGCCCTAAGTCCCAAAGGGTCTCTGAGCCCAGATCTGTCATAAGACCCACGTATCCAGATTATTGACCCCAATCACCAGATCCCTAGTCTGTGAACCCCAAGAGCTAGATCCCAGAACTCAGAACCCTCCCCCAGTGGGTCTGTATTTCCTGGATCTTTCTGAGCCCCAAGATCCTGGGATTCCCCCCCCCCACGGGGTCCTCTGAGCCCCATGATCTGAGTCATGTGCTCCCA